GGACGATGTCTCCCTCCGAGAGGGCGGGCAGAGATTGGGGTCATCTTTGATTGAGAAGAAAGCTGTTGCAATGACACCCACAGCCATTTTGCTCTCGGAGACGGGAAAAGTACTTCACTCATTAGTGTAAAAAAGGAGAGAACAGAGGCACAAGCAATCTTGTGGACCAGCCCGGGCCATTCATTTGCAACCGTCCATTTTCTGGGTGTCAGAGGACGACTTTTTTTTTTTTTTATGTATAATCTGATTTCCAATGTTGGCAACAAAGAATGCTTCACTCATGTGCGACGCGGGGTTTTCTTCTTCATAGACAATAACCGATTATAAAAGCCGTTCTCAGCCTCCCACCCCCCCCCCGCCCCCCAATCTCGGAGCCGTGTTGACATATGGAAATGAATCAAAATGTAATACGCATAATTACGAGCATTGTAAGTAGGGTACAATTAGTGTCTCTTCAAACCGATGTTGTAATCAAAAGACACCACTAAAACAGTCCAAGGAGTGAGAGCATGAGCCACGGGATTCGACGCCGATTGGAAGGAAGTTTCTCTCTTTCTTTGCCTCTTCTCCTGGGTATAGAGACGCGCGTCGCCTCCTATTCTGTTCCTGAGTGGGTGCAGAGAAATCAATTCTAATTATTCTCTCCACCCATGGAGCTGAGCACAGCCAAGGAAGGCCTGGCTTTAAAAATAAACCCAGCCGCCCAGAAGGGGGAAGGGTGGCTTTGGCTGAAGCTTTTATCTGGAGGGTGTCTTCTGAGGTCACGGGCCCCTCCCCGGGGAGTAGGGGAGGGGCGTTGGGCTTCATCAATCAGGATTTTGTAGCCTGGATATCTTCTGTGTCCGTCAGAAGGCATTTTGGGGGTGACTGGGGATGTGTGAGGTCTGGTTTTTGTTTTGCTAGCTGTGGATTCATTTGGCTTTTGCATCAAAGCCTTTGCCAACACGGGACTGTTGGGGTAAGGGTTTGGCCCAGGAGTTAGGACCCTCGCATCCCATACAGCAGCTCCTGGGTTCACTCCCATCTCCGACTCCCGACGCCAGCCTCCTGCTCACACAGATGCTGGGAAGCAGCAGTGATGAATCGAGTGGCTGAGTTCCACCACCCCCACGGGAGACCTGGGGTGAGTTTCCCATCCTTGCAGGCGTCTGGGACATGAATCGGCAGATGGGTGCTCTCTGTCTCTCAAATAAATCCAAGAAAATTTAAACAGAAATAAAAGCCAGGAACCGGTCCCTTCGAGGGGCATTGTCCTCTGAGCCTCACTACAGCAGACCCTAGGGACAGGACAGCCAGCTCGCTCCCCCTCCCCCCTGCTGCCCCTTGCGAGTGAGCTGCCCTGCACCAACCACTCTAGTTTTTCCCCCATTCCCTGCCCGTCCCAATTTCTGCCGTCTCTCTGAAGTTACTTCCGGCCCCCAAGTTGCCACATTCCCCCAAGGCCACTTTTGCTGTCTCCTCTGCCAGGAGAGTCCTTGCTGGCAGCCCCCAGCCCCAGTCCAAGCAGTAGCATCACCATTGACCTTGAGCCTGGCTTTCTGCATGGACTCTCCCCTCTGCAGCTAAGCCACACCCACTGTTCATCTGGGCATTTCTCCCTCATCTGCAGGCTCTGAGAGGTAAGGTCCCTGCTGTTTCCATGGCTGTACCCCAAATGCCAAGTCCAGGATCTGGCACAGGGCAGGGGTTGGAGGGGGGAGTGGTGAAGCCCCTGTCTGAATTTTTGGATGAATTATTCAGTGAGAGCTGCCTCTTTGTTGCCTCTTAAGTGAGGCTGGAATAAGGGAGGAAGGGGAAGGGGATACTTTCTGAAACTCTGTGGGAACAAGATATTTACCCCCTTAAGATAAACACCTTACATCCGGGGTTAAAATCCTCTTTAAAGGTTGCTAGGCTCTCAATGTGTTCGCCAAGATTTCACGCATGGAAACTTAGTCTCCAAACTCCTGCATTCATGATATTTAGGAGGTGCTTAAAATTAGATGGAGCCATGAGGGGGGAACCTCCGGCACTGCCTCTGTGGCTTTATTGGAAGAAGAAGAGAGAGTCGAGCTCACACCTGCTCCGTGTCGCCCTGCGCTGCCTTCTGATATGTCACAATGCAGCGAGAAGACCCTCAGCAGATGTCACCCCGTGTCACCACCATGAGACTTCCCAGCCTCAAGAACCATGAGCCAAACCAGCTTCTAGTCCTTCTAGTCCTAGATGAGCGTCACTGCAGATACGGAAGCTGACGTGGACACCCGTATTTGTTTTCTATAGCATCGTTCGTCTAGATCTCATTTTCTGTTGGGTTGATCCAACGGCAAACACTTGGAAAGGACTTAAGATCCATCCCTAAGCATGAGATCAACAAACTACAGTGCACTTAAACACTAGAAGATTCTACAAGAATGTGTGAATGGTCATTTAGGGGCACGGAAAACTCGCCCGTCTGGGGGCCTAGGTCAAGCCATGAGCAGACACAAAGGTGTCATCGTATATGCAAACAGTAGCTCGGCTTCTACCAATGTGGATGCACAGAGCAATAGACGTCTGGGACCCATCGAGCTAACTGTCTAGAGTGGTCTTTCTCATCCGTGGGCTTTTGGCTGATTTTTTAAAAAGATTTATTTTATTTATTTGAAAGACAAAGTTACAGAGAGGCAAAGGCAGAGAGAGAGAGAGAGAGAGAGAGAGAGAGAGAGAGGTCTTCCATCCGATGGTTCACTCCCCAATTGGCCAGAGCTGCACCGATCTGAAGCCAGGAGCCAGGAGCTTCCTTAGGGTCTCCCACATGGGTGCAGGATCCCAAGGACTTGGGCCATCTTCCACCGCTATGCCAGGCCATAGCAGAGAGCTGGGACTTGAACTGGCACCCATATGGGATGCCAGTGCTTCAGGCCAGGGGTTTAACCTGCTGCGCTACAGTGCCAGCCCTTTTTGGCTGATTTTTAAGCCAGAAGCCAGGAACTTCTTCCTGGTCTCCTATGTGGGTGCAGGGGCCCAAGGACTTGGGCCAACTTCTGCTTTCCCAGGCCATAGCAGAGAGCTGGATCAGAAGAGGAGCAGCCAGGACTAGAACTGGCGCCCATATGGGATGCCGGGCCTGCAGGCAGCAGCTTTACCCACTACACCACAGTGCTGGCCCCTCTGGGTAGTTTCCACCCTCCTTGGACCTTGACATTTATTGTGATCCACTCCCCCACCCAAAGCAATGCAGCAGCTGTGGACACGTTGTGCTGGAATCTCACTTCTCTCTTCCTCTCCTGTCCTCCCAGTGCCATGGTCGGGGTGGGGGGCTGGCTCGGGGGTGTTCCCCCATTTTGGCCAAGCCACAGTTCCAGAAGCCAAGACCCCTTACTGAGCCAGATTCCGCAAATATTAACCTTGAGACAGGGTCATCAAAAGTTCCGATGAGGCGTAGGCATTTAGCCTTGTAGCTTAAGATGCCTGCATCCCTCACTGGGGTCCCGGATTTGATTCCTGCCTCTGAGTCTGGTGCCAGCTCCTACCAGTGCACACCCTGGGAGGCAGCAGGTGATGGTTCATGTTGTTGGGTCTTTGCCACCCACAGTGGAGACCCGGATGGAGTTCCCAGCTTCTGGCTTTGGCCTGGCCCAGCCCCAGATGTTGTGGATGCTTGGGGAGTGATCCAGCGGATGGGAGCTCTCTCTCTGTCTCTCTGCCTCTCCTCGACTCGTCCCCCTCCCCCTCAGTGGGTAACTTCTGGGGCCTCTCTTAGAGTGCGTCTCTGGGGATAAGCATGTGGGCAGCTCATTTCCATGCAACCCTGAGCCTTGGTTAAGTGAGGGAGGCTGGGGGAGAAGCAAATCAGCTCAAGGAACCCCGGCACAGGGGCGTCTCCCTGGAAAGAGCTCCCACCCGGCCCAGGGGCTCTCCCACAATGCACCAGGTGCCTGGAGCTGATAAGAATGAGTCACACAGCCCACAGGCGCATGACGGGAGAGAGGAGAAGAGAGGAGGTGCAGGTGGATGAGAGGGGACGGATCACGACCTTGGGTGTCTTTTCCCTTGGGCTGGGGTTATTTGCTATTGGTTCCCCTGCCCTGCTCGTTCCTGGGAAGAGGAACACGGAGCCCAGCTGGGGAGGTGGATGTCACCTGTAGACATTTAAACAGGCGGCTGAGAACGGGCAGTGGAGCCCACGCCTGGAGTGCCAGCCCTGGCTTTGTCTGGGGCAGGAGCTTGTGGGAGATTTTTTCCCCTTTTTCTTCACCCTTGGCTAATGTCTTACCAATAGCCTGACTCTCAGTAAGTGCTGGGTCTCTAATCAGAAAATAAATAGGAAGATAAAAGTCGCTTTGAATGCGAGTTTCGATTTCACTTCCTAGTTGCCTTTAAGCATGGGGACTGGAGGGGGAGAGGGTGGTTTTTGCAGTCTGGCTCCTCCTAAGAAGCTGGGCATGGAGGCACGTGCCTCCCAGGCCAGTGTTGAAGGAATGTTCTAGAAAGCTGGACAAGTCTTCTATAAGAAATGGGAATGATCCTTTCTTATAAAGTTAAACGTAAAATCACCCAGTGACCTTGAATTCCCACTCCTGGGTGCATCCTGTAGAAAATGACAACTTGTTTTCACACAAGACCTAAAGACTGGTCTTTTTCATCATAGCCCCAAACAGGAATGAACCCGAACCTCCCGGAGACGAGTGGCTGCATTACTTGTGGTTACACCCACAGGCAGGATCCAGGGACACCTGCCGCACCTGCCACAGCCCAGCCACAGGCTATGTCCTGTGTGAATCGTTTATAGAACATTCCTGGCAGGAAGACAGCCAGTGCGAGGGAGAACAGGTTGGTGGTGGCCAATGGCTAAGGCCAGGGTGGGGTGGGACATTGGGGATGGCAGGGGCATCTCCATGGTGACGGAGCAGCCCCATGTCGTGGTCTCCATGGGACCCGCTCCAATCCACCTCTCATACAGCTTCCTAGTTCCTACGTCAGAACAAGAAAAGCTCACCTAAAGCTAGCCAAGTCCGGCTGAGGTTGTGTTGGCGCTCTTAGCGCTGCACCCATGTCTACCATTACGTGAGATCCATGCACCAGGGGACACTGGGTGATGGCTACTTCTGTAACTCCTTGTGAATTACAAACTATTTAAGAACAAAGCAGAGCTTTACGGGTTAAGTGGGACTCGCCTCCCCCCAGTGCACTCAGATATTTAAACTCGATGTCTTCAATGTCTTCGTGCTAATGATAGATGGATTGTGGGTGGAGCTTTGATACAGCTTTGGTGCCTGATGGGCGATGTCGCTGGGGGTGTGCCTGCAGAGAGAGGCTCTTGTGCACATGTTGGTTGTCCTGGGTGCAAGTTCAGGCCAGCTTGCTCTCCCACTCTGCTTCCTGGGTTACCGCATGACCATGCCTCCACACCTGCCACAGTGAGCACCCACCAGACCCCACCCCATGGGCTCACCCGATCCTCAGCTCAAACTCCAAACTCTCAGCCGAAATCAAGCCTTTTCGTTCCCAAGATGTTCCTCTTGGTATTTTAATTGAAGTCATGAAAATTGAACTAGCACACAGCATTTCAACCATTACTAGAAAAGACTATTTAAAACATTCTGCATCCAGAGGGCCCCTACAGTTGGCAGTCAGAACAGAAAGTCAAACGCGGGTGCCTCTGACATCTCAGTCTGGCCACAGTTAACAGCTGTCACTTCCTCGTTCAGAGAGGTCCGAAGGAGTCACAGATCCCAGAATCTTGGCAGCAGAGTCACCAGGCTTTCTCCTCCTGATTGACTGCTGGTATCACCTTAAACCTCTAAGAGAAAACAATCCCGGAATATCTCTCTCTCTCTCTCTCTCCTTTTTAAAGATTCATTTACTTTTTTTGGAAAGGCAGAGTTATAGAGAGAGAGGGAGAGACAGAGAGACACCATCCATCTGCTGGTTCACTCCCTAGATGGCCACAATGGCCAGGGCTGGCCCAGACTGAAGCCAAGAGCCAAGGGCTTTTTCTAGATCTCCTACATGGGCGATCTTCCGCTGCTTTCCCAGGCGCATGAGCAGGGAGCTGGATGGGAAGTGGAGCAGCCGTGACTCCAACCAGCACCCATATAAGCTGGGGTGCCACTAAACCTACTGAGTCACAATGCAGGCACCATCCCCCACCCTTCCCCTGGCCTTCAGTATCTCTTTTAAGTCAATTTCAGAAGCAATTGCCCAGGAGTTGAGATTACGGAGTTAAGATCCAGGAAAATCCGGGTTGGCGCTGGCTCCCCTACCTACATGGCCACGTCCTCAGCGTAGGAAACTTACTCGGCTTTCCTGAGTGACGGATTGTTAATATAAAAATGGGACACATCTGGACCTAATTCAGCCAGCTTGAGAGACACAGGATATACGAGTATTAGCTCGCAGAACAGTGAAAAGATTCCAGCTCCAGGCATGGCCGGGGCTAGGCATTCAATGGATGTTCTTGGGCGTCCGTCTCATTCCCATTTTGTGCTGGTCTCATTCTTAGGCAGGAGCTTCCTCACGATAACAAAAGGGCTGCCAGGTGCTCCGAGTCTTCCTGCCGTTTTCATTTATCCGTTGTCACTGGAAGGACATCTTTTCCTAAGCAGTCACAGCTAACACACTGCAGCTGAGCCTCATCCCTGACATCCGTCACCTGCCTGTCTCCATCCATCACGGAGACCGGGAAATGGAATCCACCAAGGGCGCAGGTCTGAGTCCCGGTCCCACTTGTGCTCTGCCACACAGCTGTGAGAACAGAGAAGAGCCGTGTTAGAAGCATATGGGGAGTTTTTTTTTTCCAGGAAGAAAATCAATGCGTCTTTAGCAGAAAGAAGGTGGATTGGAAATTGAGCCAGCAAAATCAACAGACGTCCAGCAGAGAGGAAAATAGCATCATTATGGGTACAGAAATATTACCAGAGCCAGCACACGTGAGCGCGTGGGAGGTGCTGGGTGCCCATGAGGTTAACAAAGAGCCGGTCCCCAGCCCACCCATCGCTGTCACTGTCGCTGTCGCTGAGGGGGTGAACTGGGTGCCCTGGAGAACACAGCCTGATGTTCCGTGTGCACCCCGTGGAGGCACAGAGCCCTCCCTGTCCCCCACCCCAAGCCTTTGCCTGTCTCCACCCCCTAACCCGACAGCCTTCCATCTGCCTCCCTCTCCCCGTTAAAACCCGAGCAGGCCGGCATGAGCGGCCGAGTGCCAGATGCGGCACTGGACGTTCTGCACCCAGGGCAGCTGTTCTGGCTCCATTTTGCAGATGAGCGAACAGTTTCAGAGGTGGCAGAGCCGGACCTCGAATCCGGAGGCTCAGCAATGCCGGTGGCTGTGGCAAAAAGCCCCTGAGGGCCCCCAAGATGTCCCCAGGGAAACCCACCTGGCAAAGCAGACCCCAGCAGGGTGCGGCCTCCACCTGCTCCTGAGCGCACCCTGTTCCCTTGTTCCCTTCCTCCTGGGGTTACTATCTCTCTCTGTTTTTATGACGCGGATCTGCGGGAGCCCAGGGCATTGATGTCAGTGCAAACCAAGCCCCAGACGGAGCCATGAGCAACACAATTCCTTCCTTGCACAGTAGCCTGCCACGCCACGCCATGCCACGCCAGGGCAGCACCCTGCACCACCAGGGCCAAGGAGCCCTTGTTCTACCCAAGACGTTAGGAAAATGAGGATGGGTTCATTCTGCACAGGCAGCACGTGCAGTAAAAATTCAGAAGGTTGTTCTGGCACTGGGTGAAGGGCCAAGGGCCACAGACACCACTCCTGTCCTGAGCCGAGTGCACTTGTACCCTCTCTGCTCGGTTTCTTGCCTTTCAACATGCATGCATGTGCACACACACACGTGCACACACACACAAAGGCACCCATGCATGCACAGACGGGCGGGGCTTTCTCCCGCCTCTTAAAATGATACAAAGTAGCTCCTTTTACTTTTTCCTTTCTATCTCTGTTTTTCCTCCCCCTTGCTGGAAAGACTGGCTGCCATCCCCTCACCCTGTGTGTGCCAAGGTGAACCTCATGCATGTGGGGTTTTGTCCCAGGGTATTTTTCTTCACTGCATCACTACAATGAGCTGAAACTCAGCCATGTTTGGAAAATGGACAGTGCTAGCACCCCACTTGTTAAAGCCGGAGCCTGTTGTCGGCAGCAGCTTGGTTGCCAGGTACCACTTGATGGGTGTTGCAAGAAACAGCATAATTCACTGACCGGGTTCTCAGACTGGGCTGGGCACTGCGTTCTGTGGCTGCCTTCCGTGCCAGGCTTTGCTGCTGGTGGGGTCAGAGTTAGAGCCGTGGCCGGATCGTCCCGCTCAGGGACTCCTGACCATTTTCAGAAAATGGCCAAGAGGACCTCCAAGAACTTACACCTCCAGCGTGGTTGGGGATCCGTTGTTCATCATAGGCAGTTTCCATGAACTTTTTGAAAGGCCCATCGCACGCGTGGGTTTCACAAAATTTTGCAGCGAAATAAACACATCATTTACTTTTATTTCCATGAATATAAAAGCCATAGAGAAAATAGCATCCAAACTAGCTTTCAAAAAAATGTGGGCCAGCGCTGCGGCTCATTAGGCTAATCCTCCACCTTGCGGCGCTGGCACACCAGGTTCTAGTCCCGTTCGGGGCACCGGATTCTGTCCCTGTTGCCCCTCTTCCAGGCCAGCTCTCTGCTGTGGCCCGGGAGTGCAGTGGAGGATGGCCCAAGTGCTTGGGCCCTGCACCCCACGGGAGACCAGGATAAGCACCTGGCTCCTGCCATCGGATCAGCATGGTGCGCCAGCCGCAGCACGCCGGCCGTGGTGGCCATTGGAGGGTGAACCAGTGGCAAAGGAAGACCTTTCTATCTGTCTCTCTCTCTCACTGTCCACTCTGCCTGTCAAAAAAAAAAGTGAACTTTACGATCTGTTTGGCCCAGGTTTTTTTTTTTTTTTTTTTTTCCCCTCAAAGAAGGCATCACAGACACTGCTGAACGCAGGCTGCCAGGCCCGCTCGCGGTGTCCTGCTTTCCTCCCGCCACGAGCCTCAGCTCCCAGGTTAACATGCCAGGGGGTGCTTTGTAACGTTCATCGTGCGATCCCATATCCATAAACACGATGTCGCATTTGCTCCCACAGGGTTTTAAACTTCATACAAACGGTGTGGATCATTCTGGAACTGGGTTTTTGCTTCTCGTCTTGGACATCCAATCAAAGATCGAGGATCACGCCCAATCCTCCCAGCAGCCGTAGGTGGCTGGCACCATCTGACAGATGAGAAGGTTGAGGCCCGGAGAGGATGCGGAACTGGCCCCTGAATGCACACGTAGGTCTGGGACTCTTCAGTCAGATTTCCCTCCCTGTGGTTCTGTGACCGCATGCTCCACCAACCGCAGGTGCAAAATATTCAGAAAAGAAACCTTGTATGGAACTCACACACACCTGCTTTCCTGTAGCTATTCCCTAACCGATGCAGTCTAAAATCCAGCTGCATAGCATTTGCATAGTGTATGGGAGGGGCCAGGCGCTGGGATAGCCACTTCCCATACCGAGTGCCTGGGTTCAAGTCCCGGTGCCACTCCCGATTCTGGCGTCCAGTCGGTGCACACCCTGGGGGGGGGGGCAGCAGAATATTCCAGTAACCCTGTCATCACCAACCGGCCTGGCTTGGTTTTGAACTTCATGCCACGGACATGCAGGTGTTGGTGTAAGAGTTGGGAGCTTCTCACCCACGTGGGAAACCTGGAGGGAGTTTCTGGCTCCCGGCTTTGGCCCGAGCCTAGCTTTAGTCATTGCATGCACCCGGGAGTGAGCCAGCAGGTGAAAGTTCTTTTTTTCCTCTCCTTGCCTCTCTACAAAGGAGGAAGAAGAAGAGGAGGAGGAGGAGGAAGAGAAGGAGAGGAAGGTGTTAGGAGGGTGTGCAGAGGCTCTGTGCAGACACTATGTCAGTTTATATGGGGAAATTCAGTGTTCAGGGATGTCGGTGCCCAAGGGGAACCCTCGAACTCATCCCCATGGATACTGAGGGTCCCGTGTGTACTCCAAAGAAACCAGTGTCCAGGGCTCCTCAGGATGTGCACAAACACCCCTATAGGAGCTTTATGCAAAAGGGCACAAGAGTAGCAGCAGCCTCAATGTGGATCCACAGGAGAAAGGAAAAACTGACGAAGGCACACGCTGGGATATTATACAACACTGAAAAAGAAAGGGTGTGGCACAGAGCAACAAGGCTGCCTCTCTCCGCTGGAATGCTGAGTGACAGGCCAGATGCACTGGAAGCATGTTTACTCGCTCCCAGGTTTGACATGAAGTTCAAAACCAGACTGGACCCATTGGTGATGACAGGGGTACTGGAATATTCTGTATCCTGATGTTGGTAGTGGTTGCGCGAGGTTACAGGTTCTGATCCCCTCACATGGCCACAGTGGAATGCCATAGGCTGGCTGGCAGGCACAGCAGAAATGGATCTTCTCACAGTTCTGGAGGTGCAGGGGCCAGGATGCAGGTGCCGCCCAGCACGTCTGCTTCTCGGGGCCCTCCCTCCTCGGCTCATGGGTGGCGGCTCCCTTGCTGCGCCCTCACCTGGCCATCTTCCGCGCGTATGTGCTAACGGTGTCTCCCACATGCCCTGATTCCCACTCCTGTGTCTTTGTATTACTTATTTATTTGGAAGGCAGAGAGAGAGAAAGAGAGAGAGAGAGAGAGAGAGAGAGACAGTGAGATATTTCCCATTGTTGGTTCACACCCCAAATGCTTGTGACAGCTGGGGCTGGGCCAGGCTTAAACCAGGAGCCAAGAACTCCAACTGGGGTCTCCTACCATGGGTGCTGGGGACCCAAGTCCTCGAGCTTCCCAGGGTGTGCATTAGCAGGACTCAGGATGGCAGGTGGAGGCAGAACTCGATCCCACGCCTTCCGAGATGGGATACGGGCATCCCATGAAGAGGCTTCCATAGCTGTCCTCTGACTTCCTTTTCTTTTAGGGCCACCTGTCACACAGAGCTCATCTCCATGATGCCACTTTAACTTACTGACCTCTGTAAAACCCAGCCACCTGCTGAAGTATAAAGTCACTTCGCAAAGTTAGTGGAGATTGGAGCCAAAAGATACATTGATTTTTTCACAGAAATGTTTGACATCCATGCATGGGCTACTAATCACTAAAAGGCTCATGGTAAATGTGTGTGATGAAAAAAATGGGATTTTGAAAGTCTAGTGTCAGTTTATATGCAACACAAGTTGATTGCAACTTGTGTTGCAATTTTGTCCCCCCCTCCCCCCCACTCCTGCTAGGAGTTAGGGCTTCACTGCTTGGCTGCAGGGAGAGACGCGAGGCCCTCAGGGCAATCAGGTGAGTTGGAGGAGCAGGAGGGAGGACTGATTGCCCACGCAGAGCCCCCCGAGTCAGTGTCGCCCACGGCAGAGTGGATTTGCACCCAGTGGTCTGGCATCTATCTCAACCTTGCACGCGGCCCATAATCTGTGAGATGGATGACAGGAAGGGTGGACAGCTGGTCCGGCTACAGGTTGTGCACTGGGTAAGTGACAAAGGTCGAACTTGAACCTCACTCTGCCCTGACTTCAGATGACTTCTCTATCCATGAGCACGCCCCGGGGACAAAGCCTGGGCTCTCAGAGCACCCAAGCCACTCTCCATCATGAGTGAGTTTTCCACTCGCTGTGTTCCATCGCTGGAAACCTTATCCTCATCATTCCCATTTCACAGATGGAGAAATGGAGACCTGGTCAATGTGCTCCCAGACAACCAAATTCC